TCGTTTGCGATGAAATCACTTTCTGGTTTTGGTGGGCTGATTTAAAATTCAACAAGCAACACTAACTCTAATATATATATATATATATATATATATATATATATAAATAAAACAAGGAGGCAGAGAGACACTATCTGGTTTCTGGTTGTCGGATTTGATAAGGTAATTTGATTTATAACCACCTTTTATCCTCAGATATCTCAACGCATTTCCTTACACGCAATTTTGTGTTTCATTCAACCTGAAGAAGCTTAAAATGCGTCGTTTATGCCGTTTTCCCACTTTTTCTCCTTATCTTCATATATATATATATATATATATATATATATATATATATATATATATATGCACACACACACACACACATATATATATATATATATATATATATATGTTTGTGTGTGAGCACTATTTTGGGCACTATTTTGTCTACACCAAAAATTAAATAATTATTTGCTCATCTTTAAAATAGTACGTAATCGCACGCATATATAGTTACTCATATCTCTTTTATTTAGCTCATTTTCACACACACACTTATATATATATATATATATATATATATATATATATATATATATATATATATATATATATCAGAGACAGCCTTTGTCTATATTTTCATATCTATATGAGAATGGGTAGGATAAAAATCTGCACAAACGTATAAACATATTTCTTCTTCAGGTTTTATAAATAGAGTGCTCAGTGTTATGTAACAGAGTTATAAGTATATTTTAGTGAATATGCGTAATATCCAAGTTAGATAGCTCGACTCGGAGTTCTTGCAATCTTCAGGTGCATATATATATATATATATATATATATATATATATTTATATATATATATATATACTAGCCGCATGGCCCGGCGTTGCCCGTGTTTGATTAAAAAATCGTACGACTCATACAGCAATCGCTATCACTTGACTTAAAATGTTTTTGCCCTTCCTTCCCTTTAAAAGAGTGTCCATTGCCGTGCTGATGTTGCTACATGTCTTACTTCATGCGTATCTCACACTGCGAATTTTTTCTAAGCTCTATACTAAACATTAAATCTGTTACGAAAAAAGAACTAAACAAAATGAACACAAAACGATCAGCTTTAAAAAAGGACTCGTAACTGGAAAAACCGAATGAAAAAAGAATGTTAACAACAAATACTTTTTCAAACCGAACCCAGTTTTGCGGAATCAGAATCAACGTTGAGTTTAAACAAGCGAATGAGCCAATTGGAATAAAGTGCCATGCAGATTTAAATTTTTCCCATTTGTAACGAATGCAGCTATCGATTTTTTTTTGCATGCTAGCATGCTAGTTAACATTCGTGTCAGTCAGTTGTTGGCTCTCACGCTGGTCAATAGAATCTTCCAGCCTATTCGTGGCAGCCAGCTATAGGCTCTCACTCTGGCCAGTAGAAAATGGCCGCAAACTGCATGAAAACTGCCGTAGAAGTATGAAAAAATCGATTATTTCCATTATCGATGGGAGTTGGGAAATGCAAAGTCGGTCTTGGCCTTCTCGCTAACTTGGGGCATGTGCATGTAAATTTTGGTGCAAATCCGTCGAAAATTGCGGACAGCCATTGGGATGCTGAGGGATCTGCTTGATTGGTCTTAGCATTTTTTTCTAACTAAATTAAGACTTCCTTTTTATGTGCCTAGGCAATCATGGCTCTCCACCCCACCTCTATCCCTTGCAGCTCTCAATAAGTTCCTTTCCAAGCTATTTAATTTTATTCTGTTTATCTCTTAACAAGCATTTGAATAATTTAAGATTGCCGTTCCTGTCTACTCAATAGCCGTCAAAATACGTTTCAGTGAATTTCCACAGGTTTTGACATGAAAAAAGTGTTCCACGTACTCTTGAATCTGGGTTTCATTAGGGAAAGTCCCCCCCCAGTCAAAGCTTTTGCATCGATTGAAAAAGGTAATAATCGGCCGCTGCAAGGTCAGGGGAATATGGGTGATTTGACTGAACAAACCGAGTTCCATTTTTTTTCTTTGTTTTATTCTTTGCTGCATGCGGCTTTGCGTTTTCATTAAAGAGAACGATAATTTTCGCATTGCCGAGGTCAGTGGTCTTTTCGAATAAAACTTTAGGGACATGTTGCAGCTGCTGGACGTATGAATGTAAATTTAGTTTTTTTATTGGGTTTTAAGAACTTTAAAGGAATAATAACCCAAGGATCCCATCACACGCAACATTGCATTTTTTTGTATGAAGGAAAGATTTATCTTTGTCAATTCACAAAGATAAGAAATATGTTGCAGTTGCTGTACGTATAAATGTGCATTTATGTTTTCATTGAGTTTTAGGATCCTACCACACGCAAATACCCTTCCTTGTATGAAGCAAAGATTTATCATTGTCAATCCATCAACTTTAGGGACACGTTGCAGTTGCTGGCCGTGTAAATGTGCATTTAGTTCTTCATTGCGTTTTAAGGATTCAAAAGAAACGATACCCGAGAATCCCATCAAATGCAGCATTGCCCATCTGTTATGAAGTGGAGATTTGTCCTTGTCAATTCACAAACCTTAGGAATACGTTGCAGCTGCCGGACTTATAAATATGCATTTAGTGTTTCACTGAATTTTAATAACTCTAAAGGAATAATACCCGAGGATGTCATCATAACTAACATTGCCTTTCTTTTATAAAGTAGAGATTTACTCTTTTCGATCCACTGCCTTTTGTATTGGACATTGTCTTATGTCAGTGAACTCCAATTTTATTTTTCTTATGATTATTAGTTAGAATGACACATTTGTCATTACAATTGCTATCCCCAAAATGGTAATTACTCATGAAATAATCTATGTGTTGTATCCATATGCAAATCTTCACTTTATGAATAGCAATTGATACAGCTGGGCGCTAAACAAATCCTAACCATTGGCTTGTATTTGTATCAACTGAATATGAGCCCAAACCCCGGGGGGGGGGCTTTCCCTCCAGGTAGTATTTCTCCCTCGGAAGGGGATTGTGTTTATTGCCCAGTGATGGAGGCGTCCCCCAAAAGAAGGTGCCGAAGTGGCTCGAGGATTTTTGCGTGATATATGGCCATTAAACCCACTTTAAACATCAACCTTGTATCACATCGGTTTGTAATGTAGGCGTCTTGTTAAATAACACAAATCCTAACTTTGAAGATGAAACCAATAGAGAAATAGTAATGAATACTTTTAACCAATTATAGTTTACAGCCGACATAATCAATTTTTGATTATCTGTTATGATCTATTTAAGCAACGGTTAGTTAGAATGATACATTTAGCATTAGAAGTTTTCACCAAACAGGAAATGATTTATTACACAACCAAAAAGTATGGAATAAATTTTGAAAGGAATTTATAAGCTGAACAATTATCTTTGCCCTCTAACGAGAACTTAAATCTAATTTTGGAACATGAACGCCCGTTTATTCCTCGTCGTTGTCGGAACAATTAGAAGAAACAATCCCAAAGAATCCTGAAAAAAAAGCTTAAAGAACGGAAAATCCGAAGACGAAGCCAGATCATATAGACCAGGGGTCGACAACTTTTTGCTGACTATTTGCCGACTTAGGGTTTTAAAATCATTCAGTATGCCAACAGCATACGTATTTTTATACACGTCAATGTCAATATACCTGTTCTACAATATATTTTATGTAGTAATATATACTATAAAATGTAAACCACATTAGTAGAAATAAAATGTTTTTAAAATTTTCTTTTAAGTTTCTATTATTAATGTGAGTCCAACGTGTGAGCAGTTTTGAAACAGCTAAATATCTTCTTTGCATTGTAGTAGTTATTGGTTCGGACTTCGTGATGTCATTTGCGGCTGCGTGCTACTGGAAATTGTTCGGCGTGCCACCTGTGGTACGCGTGTCGTAGTTTGCCGATCCCGGAACTAGACGGCATCCTTATTGAAAACTGTTGGAGAGTGAAAGATTATCGGGAATAATTTATTTCTGTTAATTTTCTAATTTAAGCCTTAATTATCCCGGTTCATACCTTTACAATTAATAATCACCATGTCGCATATACAGGGTCGAATCATCCTCATTCCCTTCGAATTCCATTGGTAAGGAAAAAATCCCATTCGAACAGCTTTGTCCCAAGAACCAGCACATTATGGAACAAACTCTCGTGAGGATTCTTCTCCGATCATTACAGTCTTAATATTTCCAAATCTCGGCTCAAGCGATATTTAATTCAACAAACTTATTCAGTAGCCGTCTACCTTGAGTGGCACCTGGATGAGCTACAGTTAAAAAAAAAATAAAATAAAATAAATAAAATAAAATAAAAATAGAAAAAGCTACAAGTTACTCCGAGCGTGAACACTTATTGAGTGAAAAAATAATACGAATTTATTCCTGGACTTTCCGTTCGTTTATAGAAATAAACTCAAATAATTCAAGCAACGCAACTTGTGTTAAAAAGAAAAAAAGAAAAGAGGAACAAATATAGTTTATAAAACGTAGGTCAAAACACGTCGCCACTTCACTTGTAAATTAGCTTTTTCTTCCCTACGGAGTGTGATTTACTAATTGTTTCCTTTCTGAACAATTTAAGATTCCTTTTGTTCATTTTGTTTGTTTCGCCGAGATTTCCCGCCAAGACCATTTTTTTGGCGCTAAAATGTGACCAACCATTTAACTCTAACGTCATCTCGACTTCGCAGTCTTCACTCTTTCAATATTTTCCTCATCACAGTCAATGTTAGTCTCAGCTGCATAAGTTATATTTTATTATTAATGCTATCAGGGTTCGACAGAATTTCGTCTTGATATTTTTTTTTATTCCTTTAGTGTCTTTTTATATTCTTTTAGTGTCGCTTCTCTTTTTCTTTGCTTTTATTTTTGTTCTTGTTATCTGTTTTATATGTTGGTGTCGTAATTATGGGTGTTTTCGTTAGTGTCTGTGCTTTGTGTGTTAATGAAACAGGTTGTATTTTACGCCTGTTTAAGATTTGCAATCTCATTCTGCAAATCTATAATTCAGAGCTCACAAAAGATAATCAAAGACGCACCATTCAACAGTCGGCGTTATTTTCGTGTCTCGGCGACCGCTGCAATTAATGATTTTGTGGATGCTGACTGCTGATGCTGATGCTGCTATTTTGATGGCAGTGGTTGCGGTGGTGATGGTACCAATGTCTATGATGATCATTATCCTCATCATGATCATCATGATCATCACAGTCAGTTTTGTTATTGTTATGACTGTTATTCGGAGCTATTTTTTTTTTTTTTTACCTCCCCCACCATTCATTTCCAGTTTGTATCATATGTTGCTTGGGGTTTGTTTTTCATCATCATCATCATCATCATCATCATCATCATCATCATCATCATCATCATCATCATCGTCGTCGTCGTCGTCCCCTACTCATCCTTATTCTTATCCTACTATTCTAATGTCTCAGCCCCCATCTTTCTTTCTGATTCACACCCACCTCATTCTGCTAACCCTCTCCCCATTCATATCCTTTCTTTTTTTCCTTTTCTGGTATTGTTTTGAAGAAGCTTGTTTTGAAGTCAAATAACGAAGACCAGAATGAAAAACAAGCGAAGAGCAATCATATACATACATATATATATATATATATATATATATATATATATATATATATATATATATATATATATATATAGATAGATAGATAGATAGATAGATAGACAAATATATATATATATATATATATATAAAGAGAGAGAGATAGATAGATAGATAGATAGATAGATAGATAGATAGATAGATAGATAGATAGATAGACCAAAATAGGCATTCTCGAGGACAAGAAGCAGAAAAAAAATGGACGTCAAAAAGTAAGAAGAAGTAGGAGAAAGAGTAAGATGAAAATGGACGAAAAATTGAGGAAGACGTTGAACAAGGACAATGAGAAAGAAGGAGGAGGATAATTAAAGAAAAATACAGAAATAGTTGGAGGGAAATGAGATGGAAGGAGATGAAAAAGTAAAAGGAAACATGGCTAACAGCAGAAATACGGGAAATGGGACAAGAACAGGAAGAAACAATAGGGGACAAGGAAGGATTTATTATAGGAGCAGAAGAGAGGGATAAGTGACGATAGCAAAGAAGAGGAGGCAGAAGAAGGAAGAGAAAAAGAAGGCGAAGAATAAGAAGGATGAGTAGAAAGAGAAGACGTATGAGGGAACTAGGAAGGATTGATTATAGAAGTAGGAGAGTGGGATGTGTGAAGATAGGAAAAAAGAAGAAGCGGAAGAAGGGGGAGAAAAAGAAGATGAATAAAAAGGAGGAGGGGGGAAGTATTGATTATAGGAGAAGAAGAGAGATAGGTGTGAGAATAGGAAAGAAGAATAGGAAAGAAGAGGAGGCGGAAGCAGGAGAAGAAGAAGATGAAGAAGGAGGAGATGGGAACAAGGAAGGATTGATTATAGGAGTAGAAGAGAGGCAGGTGTGATGATAGGAAAGAAGAGGAGGCGGAGGAGAAGAAGATGAGGAAGGAGGAGGAGGGAACAAAGAGGGATTGATTATAGGAGTAGAAGAGAGGCATGTGTGATGATAGGAAAGAAGAGGAGGCGGAGGAGAAGAAGATGAGGAAGGAGGAGGAGGGAACAAAGAGGGATTGATTATAGGAGTAGAAGAGAGGCATGTGTGATGATAGGAAAGAAGAGGAGGCGGAAGAAAGAGATGATGAAGAAGAAGGAGGAGGAGGGGACTAGGAGGGATTGATTATAGGAGTAGAATGTGTGATGATAGGAAAGAAGAGGAGGCGGAAGAGGGAGGAGAAGAAGATGATGAAGAAAGAGGAGGAGGGAACAAGAAAGGATTGAGTATAGGAAGATAGAAGAGAGGCATGTGTGATGATAGGAAAGAAGAGGAGGCGGAGGAGAAGAAGATGAGAAAGGAGGAGGAGGGGACAAAAAGAGGGATTGATTATAGGGAGTAGAAGAGAGGCATGTGTGATGATAGGAAAGAAGAGGAGGCGGAGGAGAAGAAGATGAGGAAGGAGGAGGAGGGAACAAAGATGGATTAATTATAGGGAGTAGAAGAGAGGCATGTGTGATGAAAGGAAAGGAGAGGAGGCGGAAGAAAGAGATGATGATGAAGAAGAAGGAGGAGGAGGGGACTAGGAGGGATTGATTATAGGAGTAGAATGTGTGAAGATAGGAAAGAAGAGGAGGCGGAAGCGGGAGGAGAAGAAGATGATGAAGAAAGAGGAGGAGGGAACAAGAAAGGATTGAGTATAGGAGTAGAAGAGAGGCATGTGTGATGATAGGAAAGAAGAGGAGGCGGAGGAGAAGAAGATGAGGAAGGAGGAGGAGGGAACAAAGATGGATTGATTATAGGAGGAGAAGAGAGGCATGTGTGATGATAGGAAAGAAGAGGAGGCGGAAGAAAGAGATGATGATGAAGAAGAAGGAGGAGGAGGGGACTAGGAGGGATTGATTATAGGAGTAGAATGTGTGAAGATAGGAAAGAAGAGGAGGCGGAAGAGGGAGGAGAAGGAGATGATGAAGAAAGAGAAGGAGGGAACAAGAAAGGATTGAGTATAGGAGTAGAAGAGAGGCATGTGTGATGATAGGAAAGAGGAGGAGGCGGAGGAGAAGAAGATGAGAAAGGAGGAGGAGGGAACAAAGAGGGATTGATTATAGGAGTAGAAGAGAGGCATGTGTGATATAGGAAAGAAGAGGAGGCGGAGGAGAAGAAGATGAGGGAAGGAGGAGGAGGAACAAAGATGGATTGATTATAGGGAGTAGAAGAGAGGCATGTGTGATGATAGGAAAGAAGAGGAGGCGGAAGAAAGAGATGATGATGAAGAAGAAGGAGGAGGAGGGGACTAGGAGGGATTGATTATAGGAGTAGAATGTGTGATGATAGGAAAGAAGAGGAGGCGTAAGAGGGAGGAGAAGAAGATGATGAAGAAAGAGGAGGAGGGAACAAGAAAGGATTGATTATAGGAGTCGAAGAGAGGCATGTGTGATGATAGGAAAGAAGAGGAGGCGGAGGAGAAGAAGATGAGAAAGGAGGAGGAGGGAACAAAGAGGGATTGATTATAGGAGTAGAAGAGAGGCATGTGTGATGATAGGAAAGAAGAGGAGGCGGAAGAAAGAGATGATGAAGAAGGAGGAGGAGGAGGGGACTAGGAGGGATTGATTATAGGAGTAGAATGTGTGATGATAGGAAAGAAGAGGAGGCGGAAGAGGGAGGAGAAGAAGATGATGAAGAAAGAGGAGGAGGGAACAAGAAAGGATTGATTATAGGAGTCGAAGAGAGGCATGTGTGATAATAGGAAAGAAGAGGAGGCGGAGGAGAAGAAGATGAGAAAGGAGGAGGAGGAAACAAAGAGGGATTGATTATAGGAGTAGAAGAGAGGCATGTGTGATGATAGGAAAGAAGAGGAGGCGGAGGAGAAGAAGATGAGAAAGGAGGAGGAGGGAACAAAGATGGATTGATTATAGGAGTAGAACAGAGGCATGTGTGATGATAGGAAAGAAGAGGAGGCGGAAGAAAGAGATGATGAAGAAGAAGGAGGAGGAGGGGACTAGGAGGGTTTGATTATAGGAGTAGAATGTGTGATGATAGGAAAGAAGAGGAGGCGGAAGAGGGAGGAGAAGAAGATGATGAAGAAAGAGGAGGAGGGAACAAGAAAGGATTGAGTATAGGAGTAGAAGAGAGGCATGTGTGATGATAGGAAAGAAGAGGAGGCGGAGGAGAAGAAGATGAGGAAGGAGGAGGAGGGAACAAAGAGGGATTGATTATAGGAGTAGAAGAGAGGCATGTGTGATGATAGGAAAGAAGAGGAGGCGGAGGAGAAGAAGATGAGGAAGGAGGAGGAGGGAACAAAGATGGATTGATTATAGGAGTAGAAGAGAGGCATGTGTGATGATAGGAAAGAAGAGGAGGCGGAGGAGAAGAAGATGAGAAAGGAGGAGGAGGGAACAAAGAGGGATTGATTATAGGAGTAGAAGAGAGGCATGTGTGATGATAGGAAAGAAGAGGAGGCGGAGGAGAAGAAGATGAGGAGGGAGGCGGAGGGAACAAAGATGGATTGATTATAGGAGTAGAAGAGAGGCATGTGTGATGATAGGAAAGAAGAGGAGGCGGAAGAAAGAGATGATGATGAAGAAGAAGGAGGAGGAGGCGACTAGGAGGTATTGATTATAGGAGTAGAATGTGTGATGATAGGAAAGAAGAGGAGGCGGAAGAGGGAGGAGAAGAAGATGATGAAGAAAGAGGAGGAGGGAACAAAAAAGGATTGAGTATAGGAGTAGAAGAGAGGCATGTGTGATGATAGGAAAGAAGAGGAGGCGGAGGAGAAGAAGATGAGAAAGGAGGCGGAGGGAACCAAGAGGGATTGATTATAGGAGTAGAAGAGAAGCATGTGTGATGATAGGTAAGAAGAGGAGGCGGAGGAGAAGAAGATGAGGAAGGAGGAGGAGGGAACAAAGATGGATTGATTATAGGAGTAGAAGAGAGGCATGTGTGATGATAGGAAAGAAGAGGAGGCGGAGGAGAAGAAGATGAGAAAGGAGGAGGAGGGAACAAAGATGGATTGATTATAGGAGTAGAAGAGAGGCATGTGTGATGATAGGAAAGAAGAGGAGGCGGAGGAGAAGAAGATGAGAAAGGAGGAGGAGGGAACAAAGAGGGATTGATTATAGCAGTAGAAGAGAGGCATGTGTGATGATAGGAAAGAAGAGGAGGCGGAAGCAGGGGGAGAAGAAGATGAAGAAGGAGGAGGAGATGGGAACAAGGAAGGATTGATTATAGGAGTGGAAGAGAGGCATGTGTGATGATAGGAAAGAAGAGAAGGCGGAGGAGAAGAAGATGAGGAAGGAGGAGGGGCAACAAGGAGGGATTGATTATAGGATTAGAAGAGAGGGATGAATGAGTATAGGATAGAAGAAGAGGCAGAAAGTAAAGAAGAAAAAAAATGTAAGAAAAACCCGGAAGAATATAAATGTTATCAACAAAAAGCTCTGTGAAGGAAACATACTTAAATAATGGCAAATCCATCGTGACTACAAATATCACAATAATAATGGAAAGAAATTGTGAATATGAAAAATCATAATGAAGCGTGTTCGATAAAAACGGAAAAAAACCTCTAAGTTATGAGTAAAATATGATCATTATTAGAAATGCTTCTGCTGATTTGAACGAAACTGCGGCGTTTTAATGATGATGATGGCCGCAACAAACTATACCAAGAATAAGAGTAAACTGGCTCAAAATATAAAAGAAGGATTGACAGGGTAGGAACAGTGGTGGACTGGGAACTGTTTAACTGACTTGGGTTCGATCATGTAGACAAATGCAAATCTTGTCCCGCATAACCAAAATCCTTAGAAAAATTCGGATTTCGCTTTCGTGAATAAAAATAAGGAACCTATATTATCATGAACGTAGCGCCACCGGTGGACGAAAAAGTGAGCATGAAAAAAAAAAAAAAGGTGGGGGGGAATAAACAGACCCTTACACGGCAATTGGGAAAGCGATAGAAAAATTGGGAGACTGTCAGTAATTCAATACTTAGCAATTTTCTCGCGTAAAAATGCATATGTCTTAATAATAATAATAATAATAATAATAATAAGAAGAAGAAGAAGAAGAAGAAGAATATTAATAATAATAATGTTATTAGAGGCCGCAAACAAAAAAAGTGCCTCCTTATTGATATGCCAGTCCCTGCGGACTGCAATGTATCTTTGAAGATCTTCAAAAAGCTATCAAAATAGAAGGACCTTGAAATCGAAATCTCAAAAATGTGGCATATGGGAACATCAACAATCCCTGTTGTAGTTGGAGCCCTCGGATTGGTTGAAAAGATTACAGAAGATTCATTGAAGAGATTCATGGTAGCCCATGCCTTACAGAAATACAAAAAATTTTCTCACGAGTACAGCGCACATCTTACGAAGGTCTTTATCTATGTAAAATATATTTTTTTGTGTCAGTGGAAAATGTCATGATGCCATTTCTAACCTTAGGTCTCGGGACCCGGAACAAATGGGTATACACCAGAAATCAAAGGAAATAATAATAATAATAATAATAATAACAATAAAATACAAGAATTTCAGGAAGTGCATGCTTATTGATATATTAAATTATTAAAATCTTTCCTTAACTTTTGTCCAGTAGCTTATTTCCTTTGTTCCATTTAATCTTTATTTAAAAAAAATCTATTACGTAAATTTTTGTAACTTTGTATAATATTTATGCATTACACCTAATCTTTATTCGGTAAAAATGTCATTTTAATCATGCTTTACTTTTTTAAGTAATACACATATTTATGTTTTTGTTGTTTCGTTCCTTATATTATGGCCGCTACTGTATATATATATATATATATATATATATATATATATATATATATATATATATATATATATATATATATAGAGAGAGAGAGAGTGAGAGAAAGAGAGAAACAGAAAGTGAGAGAGCGTGAGAGAGATGAATAAAAGCAATGTAGATAAAAAAGTTTAGGGTTTTAAGTAATAAAAATCACTATAAAATAAAGTAGATCTGACAATAAGGTTAAAATGTAAGTAAAATGACTGCAGGATATTTAAAACAAAGAAAGTATGGATTATGGATTCGACGAAAGAAAGAAAAAAGAAAAAAAAAACATGAAAGTAAATATATAGTAGATAACGATGAAAACCTACAAAAACAATAAAGGAAAAAGAGGATAGGGAAAGAAAGAAGAGAAATTGGATACAAGGCTACATATATATCGTTCCTAGGAAAGATTGAACTCAATAGTCATAGCAGTCGACAGGACTAGCGGGTTAGCCACAGCCTTATGCAAATAGGTCCCTAAATGATTTACTAAACTTGGTTTAGTATTGATGCAAGGCCAAATTTATTGGTCATATTGTTAGGATGGAACATGCTCTTCAGGGATAAGGGTTTACCAGTCGGGCTCGTTACATATTACATCGTGTGATGATAGGAAAGAAGAGGAGGCGGAGGAGAAGAAGATGAGGAAGGAGGAGGAGGGAACAAAGAGGGATTGATTATAGGAGTCGAAGAGAGGCATGTGTGATGATAGGAAAGAAGAGGAGGCAGAAGCAGGAGAAGAAGAAGATGAAGAAGGAGGAGGAGATGGGAACAAGGAAGGATTGATTATAGGAGTAGAATTATTATAGATAATAGATTGATTATAGAAGTATTGTGTACAACGAAAAGGAAATTGAAGAGAATGGAGAAATAAGCAAAATATAAAAAGACATACTGGAATTTGAGGAAAGAAAGCAGATAAATTGTGATGAAAGAACGAGAAAACGGTAATAAGAAAGAAAGAAAGAAAGAAAGAAAGACAGACATAAAGAAAGAAAGAAATGAAGGCTGGAAGAAAGAGATAAAGAAAGAAATGAAGAGTTGACGAATGAAATAAAAAAAGAGATAAAAAAATGAAAAATTTGACGTATGAAAAAATGACGAAAGCTGAAAGAAACAGAGGGAGTTTGAAAGAAAGAAAGAAAGAAAACGATGAAGAATGAAAGGAAGAAAGAGATAAAGAAAGGGAGAAATAAAGAAAGTGATGTAGAAGGAAAAATAGACGGAGGAAGAAAGAAAGAAAAATATGATGAATAAAAGAAAGAAAGAATGAAGAATGAAAGGAAGAAAGAGATAAAGAAAGGGTGAAAAAAGAAAGAGATGAAGAAGAGAAAAAAGCAAAAATAGATGACGAAAGAAAGAAAGAAAAATATGATGAATAAATGAAAGAAAGGGATGAAAAATGAACGAATGAAAGAAAGAAAGAAAGAAAGAATAAAACTGAGAAAAAAATAAATTCAAAGAAAGAAACAGATGAAAACGTGAGAGATTCAGATTAAAAGAAAGGAATAAAATCTGAAAAATGTAAGAAGGATGAAAAAGAGATGAAAAAATAAAAAAAAGAAATGAAGAATTTAACAAATAAAGAAAGAAAGAAAATAAATGAAGATTTAAAAAGAAATAGAATAAGACTGGAAAGAGTGATGAAGACTGAAAGGAAAAACAAAGAAAGAGATGAATGAAAGAAAGATAGAAAAGGAAGAAAGGAAGAAAGAAAGAAAAAAGGAAAGAAATGAAAAATGAAAGAAAGAAAGAAAAAGAGGAAAATGAAAGAAATAATTCAATCAAAACTGAAAGAATGAATTGAAAAAGGAAAAGAAAGAAAGAAAAGAAGGAGAAATGGAGAAAAACGGTAAAGATACAAAGGAAAAGTGTCAAAAATCAGAAATGCAAAAGAAATGCATAATCGATAATCTTCTTGGGAAGTGAATATAAAATGGAAAATGAATGAGAATTTGGAAAGTAAATGAAGAAGAAGAAGAAGAAGAAGACGAAGAAGGAGGAGGAGGAGGAGGAGAAGAAGAAGAAGAAGAAGAAGAAGAAGAAGAAGAAGAAGAAGAAGATATTGTTAAATAAGTGCTAAAGAAAGGACGTGCAATAATAAGAAGGTCATAAAGAACCTCCATCCCGTCCCTGCGCTCGTCCCCAAATGAAAGAAGAAAGAACGTTGGACTAAAGAAAAGAACGATCGAATGAACGGATGAAAGTAACAGGGAAGGATAATCAGCAATTAAAGAATATAATTGACAGAAATGAAATAAAGGAAGAAATGGAAGAAAGAAAAAAAAGAAAGAAAAGAATGGATCAAGTAGAAGCGAAAGTAAAATGGAAAGAATACAAACAAAAGAATTAAGACAAGAAAAAGGAAAAACGGAGAATGAAAGAAAGGAAGCAAATAAAAAGAAAATAAAAAAAAGCTAATAATAAATGCAAGAAGCGAACGCAGAAAGAAAAGAAGAGAAATAATGAAACTGTAGAAAGAAAAAGAGAAAGAACGAGAGAATGACAGAAATATAAAGGAAATAAAGAAATAAAAAAGAATAAAGAAAATCGAAAGAAAGAGAGGGCCAGATTGAGAATGGAACAGCGAGAAAGTGCTTACGAAAGAAAGAAGGAATGAAAGAAAGAAACCAAGAAAGAAAGAAAGAAAGAAAAAAAGAAAGAAAAAAGAAAGAAAAGAAAGAAAAATAAACGAAATAAAAAGAATAAAAGAAATCGAAGGAAATAAAGTACCAGATTGAGAATGGGACAGCGAGAAAGTTCTTACGAAAGAAAGAAAGAAAGAAGGAATGAAAGAAAGAAAGAAAGAAAGAAAGAAAAAAAGAAAGAAAAAAGAAAGAAAAAAGAAATAAAGAAAAGAAAGAAAAATAAACGAAATACAGAAATAAAAAGAATAAAATAAATCGAAAGAAATAAAGAGCCAGATTTAGAATGGAACAGCGAGAAAGTGCTTACGAAAGAAAGAAAGAAAGAAAGAAAGAAAGAAAGAAAAAAAAGAAAGAAACATGTAAAGGCAAAAAAGCAAAGAAAATGGAAGAGAATATAGAAGGAAAGAAGAAAAGAACAAAAGACGTAAAGTAATTGTTTGTAATTGGCAAAAGGACAGAATATCGGACGAAGTGGTGAGATGTGTTGGGAGTGTGCTAAAATTGATGAAGACGAAAAAACGGAAAAGAGAAACAAAAGCAAATGAATAGGCCGAGACTAAAAAAAGAAAATAATTTGCCAAGATCCACTAAAACAAACTCACCAACAAATTATCACATCGGGTGGTAATCATGTGAGAGGAAACCGTACCGCACATCATGCCGGGAAAAGGATTAGGCA